TAAAAGCCCGATAGAAGAAGTTAAGATCCATGAAGGTTTTCTAGATGGAGTTGAATGAAGTGAAATCTTTCGAATGGGTTGTTGATAAGATAAGTTTGGATTGATTCTGTTTTTGAAAGTGTAGAATGATGAATGAGATCTGAATGAAGTTGAGATATTAGATTTATGAAAACGAAAGGAATGAATCATTTGGGGATTTGGATTTTGTAGATTTTTGAGAAGTCACATTTAAAATTCACGATGATGATCGACCTTGCATCGAAAATTGAGATATCTACATAAACCCATACCTCATGTGATTACATACATACTAGATTACCATTCAAAAAGTGCGACATGTAATGCTCGGCTGCTTGATTAACCGAGTGGAAGTCTTCAAAACACCGATCAAATCATTTTGAGGTTGACTTTGATGACCAAAACCACTTTGCTCAAATAGTCATCTTCATATATCATTCATCATTCATCATCTATCTCATCATCATCATCATGTCAAACCACCAAAACAATCCATCATCCTCAATTCCACCATCTTCTATATCCGAATTTCAAAGTAAGTGATCATTTCATTCTTGAAAAACCAGATCAAACTAACAAACTCTTCATTCTTTCTTTCCTTTCCATATCTAAATCTCATTTTCAAGCTTTATTCTCTGATCTCCTAACGCCTGCTTTGGTCAATGATCCAAACGATTCTCAATATAATTTAACATCCTCCCCTATCAATCCTATCAATCCTCATCATCAGCTAATCAATCCATCTCAACCTTTATCACAATTCAATACTTCTATCAATCCTCAAATTCCAATGCCAAATCATTCTCATCATTCCATAATCACCAATCCTGCTTCGATCTTTGATTCTCCAAAAATCAACCTTCAACCTGAACTTCAGATTGAAGAAGCTCAAGCCTCAGGTCCTCTCATGTTTCGTTCCTTTGATCCCTACCTTAAAGTCGGTCAAGTCTCTCTTAGAACTTTTGAAGCCTCAAAAAGTTGAGCCAAAGACTTAAACAACCTGATCTTTTAAACAGGCTCCGGATAACGAGTTTCACAAATCAGCTTCAAATTCACTTGGATTTGATCCACTTCGAGTGAATCAGATCCCTCAAAACAATCTACAACATTCAATGATACCATCTCAAACACATTCCAATCCATTGGAAATCCATCCTACTCCTTTACACCTAGCACCCTATCCACCTATCATCACTCAAGTCAACCAAATCGATCATAGTAGATCAGCAGCTGGACATCATGATCTGTTTGTTCCTGGATTGTTTTCCAACACTCCTAGTCCTTCTACTTCCAGGACCATCACCCCTCAAAATCACCATCAATCCATCCAATCTATTCAAAATCACACGACACCCTTCCCCACCAGTTCAATGAACCCCACTTCTAGACCAACAGACGGCTCTAATCCGATTCACGATAGGGTAGTCGCTGCTAGAAATCATGAAGGGATATATGGTATCAGTAGAGAAGTGGGTGGAAGGACGTACAGAGTAAATCCTTTGTCTCAAATCCCTTTCGATCATGTTGACTGCCATCTGCATTCGAGTCCAGTGTGTCTGATTCTTCTTTTGATTGCATTTTAGGAGTACCAGTAAGTTTCATGTTGAAAAAATAAGGATCGGATCTCTTGATTGATTCTTCATGTTTCATTCAAAAGATGTCAACACTGTCCACGTACCTTTTCCCGACCATCTACTTTAATTCAAGTGAGAGTCACTCTTGATCATCTTGTCTCTAAAAAATCATCGCTGAATCTTGATTATTTTATCTCTTCAGCATGGCCGTGAGTAGAATTCAATATTATTTGACTGGACAACAGGTTGAAGGCTTCTTTTTGGTCGCGACATGAAAACGGCTAAGGTGTACATACCGGCGAAAAGCGTGAGCTGAAAATGGGAATGAGCTCAACACACTCGAGTCTGTTTCGAAGAGTTTCTTTGGTTCAAGGGTAAGGGACCCAAGAAACGTTTTGCTAACCAATAGTCATCAAGACCACTGTTTTAGATGATTAACACACCCAAGGGACTTACAGGGAGTCTCAAAGAGAATCATGAAACTCAAACGATTACCCTTTTTTTTATGCTCCAAACCATTTTGTAGCTTTCCCGTGTCCTCACCCAAAGTGTGAAAAAAGATTCGGTACGCTTTCTAATGCCCAAAGACATGCTAAAATTCATTCCTCTACTTCAGTGACGTCCTAGAGAGTGCTTGAAATGGAACTTGACGATTTGGAAGTAAGTTGAAAAAACATACCTATGGAGTCATGAAGCGTTGGCTGACGTCATTGTTATAAGCGCATGTATGGACGATGCATAGCAAGGATTCGACGAGGAGGGATTCAGTTTTGGGTTTGGATTATTCAGGTCTTAGGATTGCGAATTAGCTGGTTATTTCATACTGGCGATCATATTGGATAGGAGGCGTACATACTGCATACATAAGTTGAGACTTCAAGACGGTACTCGCAAAATGGATCATGCAAATTCATCATAAAAATGTTTTCAAGCTGAGTTTAGATTTTCTTTTTCTATATGACTTTACTTTTTTCCAAGATTTGTTTGTAAGATTCTCACCATGAGTCTTGAGGTAATGAATTTTGAAATGATACAAAAGCTGAAGACAGATATGGTTTTGTATATCCATGACCAGTAGACCAAAAAAGTTTCATACGATAAATCAGTTACTAAACTCGTAACTGATCAAGAAAATTGTAGATATAGATATGACCAGACTTTTGATATTGAATCCTGCAGATGTTGAGATCTGGCCGCCATTACAGATATGCCAGCCTGAAGAGCTCTAAGATTTTTAAACCATTCAAGCTCACGGAAAAGTCATTTGATGTTCTTTTCAACGGGTGCTAAAGCTTTGTTGCAGAAGGAGTCTGATGAGATCATTATACGTTCACTGGAGTCACCTTTGAGAAACTGACACAGATAGCAGTATGTATCCGCTCAGTCTCCGAGACCTGCTCATCACCAGGGCACGAAGGACGTTCAGCAGTTGAGACTGGTCGCGGATCAAGGTCGTTTCACGTTGTACAAGTGGGATGTGTCGTGTTTCAAAAACACTCACTCGCAGCCTACACCACAAACCGTCTTTTTGTTGCTGATCAGTTTTTGTGGGGGTTGAAAAAAAACCGTAAATACCCGTAGAATTGTGGTAAAACATCGGTGTATGACCCGATTGGTGTTGAGTGAATAATCCTTGGTACACCACGGAGGCACTCTGAATCTGAAAATGGTCTTGCCAGGTCTCAGAATGGTCTAAGCGGAAGGCCGCCCGCAGGACGCCTTGTGGGCCATCTTCAAGCCGGCGGGAGGCGGCATTTCAGCCAATCACCCATATTTGATCAGTTCGATCTAAAACCTGTCTGCAATAGGCCAGCAGACCGGCAGCTGTCGGGCCGCAGATCGCCCGCATAGGTGGCCGAATGCGGTCTGCCAGTAGGCCTCAAGGCGGCGTGTAGATCGCCCTCCTGGCCGCCCTCAGGCGGCCTGATGCCTGGCTCTTGGCGAGCCTGCCAAATCCGATCGGCAGATCGCCCTCTGGCCATCAACAGCCCGGCAGCAGTCCACCTTTTGGCTAACCTGCCAAATCCGTTCGGCTTATCGCGTTGAACTGGCCACCTGCTGTTCTCCACTCGACCACCACAATCATCCGCCAACAC